AAGGAGCTCTGGTAGCGTAGTGGTTACGAATCGGGCTGCGAACCTTAAGGTCAGCGGTTCGAAACTACCAGCCGCTCCGCGTGAGAAAGATGAGGCTTTCTACTCCCGTAAAGATTTACACCCTAGGAAACCCTGTACAGGGTCGCTATGGGTCGGACCCGACTCGATGGCACTTAACAACAACAACAACAATACATATCAATGTGTTTAGCCCTAACTTGTAGACATTTTTAATGTGAAGGGTCAGAAAGGAGGACATAATATTTATGTAATAAGGGGTTATTCTCAAAAAAGTCATTTAAAATTATTTCACCGTACCCTATTGTGTTTTATCTGTTGCTCTCAGATGGAAGACAGTCAGAGAGGAAATACCTCCACAATTACTTATGTGATCTTGCTGGGGTTTGGAGACTTCAGAGAAGTTGGGACTGTCCTCTTTTCTTTGTTCCTAAGCCTTTATGTTGTCACACTGTGTGGTAACCTGTTACTGATCCTCGCTGTCCAGACAAGCCCACGCCTTCATACACCAATGTATTTCTTTTTGTGTCATTTATCCTGTGTGGATGTTGGATATACTAGCAGCATAGCCCCGCAGCTGCTGAAGGAAGTTTTGTCAGGTGGTGTCACCATCTCCTTTACTGCCTGTGTGGTGCAACTCTATGCAGTTGGAGCTCTGCTTACTGTAGAGTGTTTCCTCCTGGCCATCATGTCCTATGATCGCTTCTTGGCCATCTGTTGGCCTCTGAGATATTCAGTGCTTATGGACACCAGAACTTGTGTCAAGCTGGCTCTTGGATCGTGGGTTGGTGGTTTTCTCTTTGTGGGAGCTGTGCTAATTTTGCTTGCTAAGTTAACCTTCTGTGGACCCCACATTATTGATGATTTCTTTTGTGACTTCTTCCCCCTGGTGAAGCTTTCCTGCACAGACACTACAATAGTGGAAAAAGTAGCCTTTGCTTCATCATTCCTATCTTTGTCTCCTTTCCTTTGGACTTTGTTATCTTATGGCTGCATCATATTCTGCATTTTAAGGATTTCTTCTTCCACAGGTAGATACAGAGCCTTTTCCACCTGCTCCTCCCACTTGATTGTTGTGAGTGTGTTTTATGGCACCATGATTGTGGTATACATGACACCTGCATCAGGAAAAACACTCAATCTGAACAAGATTTTCTCATTACTCTACACAGTGCTTACACCCCTTCTCAATCCTTTAGTTTATAGTCTGAGAAACAAAGATGTCCAAATTGCTCTGAAGAAAGGAACTAAACTTCCATGTTCAATAAAGAAATCCAGGCTATGAAAAAATGTGCTTTATAAAGCATAGAAATTAATGCTACTTAGAGTGCATGAGAATTCCATTAAGAGAACATTGTAATAATTAACAGTTCAACAAGATTTAACAAATTGGCAATGCTAATTTTGATAGTAAGATCAATACCTAAAACATTCAAGTTAATATTTATCAATTTGAAATATAAATCCACACACTATTTTATATCAAGTGATAGAACAGCAGCTTTAGAACAACAACAAAAAAACCCTCAATATATTCCATGTGTTAATTCATACATATGTCATTATATCCTCACAACTATCTTAGGAGGCAGTAGGTATTCTATAGCATATATAATAAATGGATGGTAACATTAGTATTTAAAATGGCCTTCAATAACATGGAAAATTCTGCATTTAAACTAGCTTTTTTAATAGCAAATTCTTTAGCTACTTTTATAGTAGCTAAAATTTATAGTAATTTAATTCAAACAAAATGTTGATTAAATTATACGTGAGTATTTACAATTAAAGAAAATAGTGACTAAATTATAAGTAAACTGACTTAAAATATTAAATAGTGCAATGTTTTGAAGACTCTATCTTGTAATTTATAAAAATTATAAGATGAGTAAATTATTTTAATTGTGCTTTTGTAGTACCTTTATAAAAAATTACTTAACAATTAATTTAACTGCAATATGAAAGGGAAAAATAGTAGTCAACAAATCTTGCAGAAGATGACCAATTTTGAGATTTTACAGTCAAGTTATCAAAACATACTAAACAACTGTGCAATTAAGAGAGTGTGATTAATTATTTCTGTATTACAAAAAAAGAGTGAAAGCAATGGATTTAATGAATAAGTATACAGAAACTGATGGATGCATTTGTGGACATAACATTGTTAAGTAAAGGTAAAACAAAACACATGGGAAGTTGCTGTTGTTAAGTGACATCGAGTTGGTTCTGACTCATATCAACCCTGTATAAGGTTTCCAAGGAATGGCTGGTGAGTTTGAACTGCCAACCTATGGTTCAAACTGACCTTGAAGTCCAGTACTTATCCTATGGAGACACATTAAGAGTTTGAATAAATGACACACAGATTTATGGCAAGGTGAATGAATGGAAAGATATGGTGCAGAGACTCTATACAGCAAAGACACAGGAGACCAAGTGAAACAAATACAGATGATTATCCTGAACTCTGAAGTTCAGAGGACAAAATAGAGGAATGAATTGAATACTGGCTGGAAAAAGCAGATGGAAGGGATGGCAAGAGAGGAGGCAAGAACTGTCATAAATTGGTGAACTGCCAGCTGGTCTAACTTAACACAGATGTCTTGAATTTTTGCAAGCAGCATTAGAACTGAACAGTGACCGGACAGCACAGATACACACTGGTGGCTATTTTCTCTTGTTTCACACATGCAACTGTTGACTAGAGGCCAGGCCAGCAACTCCACTCATCTTCCACCAGTAAAGTCCTTACTTTGCCAAAAGATGGAGCAGTGCTATTATAAGCTGCACCATTGGGAGTCAGGTGCCAGGTACATCACTTCTGCACATAAAGATGGGTGACCTCTGCCTCTTCAGACCCATAGAATATTCAGAGTTTGTTCCTGGACAACCCTGACTAGCAGGATCTTTCATACAACTGCCCTATGAATGAGGAACAAAGACCCTGAACTAATTTCATCATTATAAGCCTGCAGAAGCTACTTTCAGATTGGGTACCCTGAATAAGAAAACACACAGGCCTACAGGAAGCCCATCTAGGGTTAGAAACATCACCCCCTTTCATTTTGCTTCCAACTTTGTGAGCTCCTTGGCAGGCAGGAGCCTCTCATACACGTACACATATAGTTTTCCCCTCTCTGGCTATAGCCTCTGATCTGTTTCCATTTCTTTAATTTTCTTTCCCTTTCACTCTCCATCTCATTCTGTTTCACCTCCCTTGTTTTTATACTTTCTCCCACAGCTTATCTTGCTTCTTCTTTTCTTGTTTCTCATTTTCCCTTCTCCTTCTTTTGCCTTGTTTTTCTTCACTATTCTCTTGCATCTTTCTCTTTTCTTCTTACATTTCCCTAGTTTTGTTTAGTGTTTTTTTTCTTTTGTTTAATTTAGTTTGCTTTATAATTTTCCATTCCATATTCTTTCTCTTATTAGTTATTATATTCTTTATTTTGTTGCTATCTATCTCTATCTCCTTATTTTTTATATTTTCCACTGTTTTGTTGTTTGATTTTTTTGTGTGTGTGTGTATACATACATCTTGTCCCACCAATGGAAGGCCATAACTATGTCCATACAGGATAGCCAAAGCCATAACCTCTGCAGTTCCACCTACTGGGAGTCACCATCAGCACCTATACTGCCTTAAATGGAGTTGCACAAACAGTGAATGGAAAACTACATACAAATTGTGTTTTATGATCACAGTTGGCAGGTGGGGAATGACTAAGAACATAACAACTTAAAATTATCAATTAGATTCAAATATAATGACAGCAGGATGTCTTAAAGATAGCAGACAATTACAGCTTGCACAAAGAAAAAAGTCATAGTGGCTTAAACAAAAGACCCAGATGCAGAACCACAAAATGTTTCTGAGGAAGAAAATGTATTGGAATTACCTGATAACAAATTCAAAAGAATGATAATTAGGTATCTTCAATGGATTGAGATAAAGACTAAGAAAGTTGCAGCTGAAAACAAAGAGAACATAGAAATAACCTAAGAAGAATTCATAAAACACTAACAGAAAAAATAGATAAAATTAATGAATATTTGAAAATAACACATAACTTGCAAATAGAAATCCAGAAGACTAATACTAAATTTTGAGAAACAGGTTAGGCTGAACTAGTGAGCTTGAAGATGAATCTCTGAATACTGGTCTGCGAGAAGAACAAGAAGAAGAAAGCAGCAAAACTTGCAAAGAAGGCCTAAAATTTCCATGAAGACGATAATTTAAGGTAATAAAAATTCCAAAACAGAAAGAAAAAAAAAAAAAAATAGAGAAAATTGTTCAAGAGTTATTGGAAAATAATGTCTCTAACATTGTTAAGGTGTCTTGGTGTGATGTTGCAGGTTAATTCACTGGATTGCAAGGTTGCTTTAAGATGCAAGGTCAGCCATTCAAGCTCACCAGCTGCTCCTCAGAATCCTTATACAGGGTCACTATGGGTCAGAACTAACTGGATAGAACTTAACAACAACATCAAGAAAGATAAAATATGAATTAAAGAAGCTTCACAAACCCCAAATAGGATAGATTACAAAATAGAATCATCAAGACATATGGTCAAACTTTCTAAAACCCACACTAAGAAAGACTCTTCAGAGCAGCTCATGAAAAAATGAGTTATCTACAGAGGAGAAACAAAAAACTAAAGCCTAATTTATCAGCAGAAACTATGCAGGAAAGAAGACAATGAAATGACATACAACAAACTTAAAAAAAAAAGAAGAATCATTGACCCAGCAAAAATATTATGGTGAAATTAGGACATTTTGATATAAAGAGAAATTAAAGGAATTTGTAATAACCATACCAACTTTACAAAAATTACTAAGCAAAATTATTATTTGGACAGGAATCCAAAAAACAGCAGACAACAACATGCAATTAACACACATAACAATACTACCCCAAAGTATCTGGAGTAAAATAAACCTGCTGTTAAATGCTGTCATATTGGTTCCAACTCATAACAACTCTGTATAGGATTTCCAAGGAATGACTGGTGAGTTCAAACCATGAACTTTTCAGTTCAAACCAACCTTGTGGTCCAGGGCTTATTCTAAAACTATACATGACTTAAAATAGGGATTCAGAGATATAAATTTATAATAAAGACAGGTACAAAACCTAAACAGTGTAGTTACAACATTTCCAAATGCAAAGGAAGTCAAATATATTTCAGAATAAAACAGACTGTTTTAAACTGCAGAGAAAATTAATCAATTGCAGGGTAACCTTAAAGAAAATTAATAACCTATTCAAAATGTGAAAAGAGGAAAATCATGAAGATTTATTGTTAGATCAAATTTATAAAGGTCAACAAAAGTGTTTTCACTCTTAACGAACAAATAACGTGGATGCTTATCAGAGATCAGTGTTGTTGCAGGAGGAAATGGGAAGTAATTTTCAGGTTAGAGGTTGTTGTTGTTGTTAGGTGCAATCCAGTCAGTATTGACTCATAGCAACCTTATGCACAGCAGAACGAAACACTGCCCGATCCTAGGCCAACCTCACTATTGTTGCCATGCTTGAGCCAATTGACGCTGCCACTTTGCCAATTCACCTTGCTGGGGGTCTTCCTCTTTTTCTCTGACCCTCCAACTTACCAAACATGATATCCTTCTCCAGCTACTGGTCCCTCTTGACAATATGTCCGAAGTATGAGGGACAACATTTGGCCATCCTGGCCTCCAAGGAGCACTCTGGCTGTACTTCTTCCAACACAGATCTGTTGGTTCTTTTGACAGTCCATGGCACTTTCAATATTCTCCTCCAACACCATAACTCAAAAGTATCATTTTTTCTTTGGTCTTCCTTATTCACTGTCCAGATTTTACATGCACATGAGGTGATTGAAAATATCATGGCTTGGGTCAGACACACCTTAGTCCTCAAGCTGACATCTGCTCTTCAACACTTTAAAAAGGTCTTGTGCAGAAGGTTTGCCTAAAGCAATACGTCGTTTGATTTCTTGACTGCTGCTTCTGCGAGTGTTAATAGTTGATCCAAGAGAAATTAAGTCCTTGACAACTTCAATCTTTTCTCCATTGATAAGAATTTAGGTGACAGGAAAGGCGATACACAACAAGAGGGAGATTGTCAGAAGAATGATGAAGGTAGAGAGAGATACTGAGAAGAGGGTGAGTTAAAGGAAGCAGAGAAACAGACACTGTCATATATAGAATCCTGTAATGACATTTATCTATGAATAGATACATAGATAGATATAGACAATGAACAGGTGTGGGAAGCAATATCAACGTTTTTGCTGTTGTTAG